GCGCTCTTACTCTCATCCCATTTCTCCTCGGCTCTCGCGTACACACACGACTTGGATACACAAACACGCTCCCCCTCTTAATTCGCGCAGCATTCTCTGGGCGCGCGTTCGCCAACGTTTTACACGCTTGTGCGCTTCTCCTCCTCATTATTATTATTTCGGTGTGTCATTTCAGACGACGCCAGGATTTGCACCGCGGCCGGTCGGCGCGGCACAGACACCTCGGGCGAACGTCCAACGATCGCTCGTACGCCCATTGTAAGCGTTGCACAGGGCACAGGCGACGCGCGCGCCATTCTCTGGTCGCCCGCGTCGTGGCCGTGCGCGCTTTTCGGGCGCAAGCAGTTTAGGGGTACTAAAACGACCCTCAGCCAGGCGTGGTCCGGGAATTGTATCCGTGGACCGCAATGTGCGTTCGAAATGTCGATGTTCATGTGTCCTGCAGTTCACAAGTTGTGCGAGAACCTTCGATTTGTTTTAATTTTCCGCGCAGAGGCAAATTTATTTATTTATAAGTCGGCTCGTAGATACGAAGGAGACTGGATGCGGAGAAAATTGTAAATGTGGAGAAATTCACTTTTGAGGCAAAGCAGTTTTATTCAAAACTCTCGCAGACAAGATTAAAACGCGGAAGTTCGCTCTAGAACGAATAAATTCGCGCGATGCTCTTTTCGCTGATATACACGGAGACGTCTCTTCAGTTCAGACTCCTCGAGTAGACTCATTTTTGATCCTCGCGGAATTCGGCAGCTAAGGCTCATCCGATCGACGCGTGGCACACGTGCTGAAATCCTATTCGCGGACGATTGCCCCATCACGCTCCGAAACGCAAGACAAAGGCGAGTTTTTGTAGATTCCTCGCTCGCGGAATCGAAAACAACCGGAATAACATCTCGGCGTCGAATATTTTCAATTTCTACGATTAACCTTGCTTCGTCGCTCCGAAAATACGTGACAATTTTAAACATACCGCCCGCCTCGCATTTGAACGTATGCGAATATGCGAAATATAGCCAACGGTAGTCTTCAACGTACGATGAAGACAATAAATCAATTTTCAATCAACCAAGAAATCAAACAAGAGATCAATGCAATAATTCCTTGCGATCGAATAACGAGGGCAAGTAATCAGAAGGTGAAAAAACCTTTTACAATTTTCGAGTAAATATTTCTAAATTATAAAGACGCTCTCAATTTTCAATAGGCACTGAGCCTTAGCAAATATTCGCCTCTTTCGGCTGTTCGAGCACGCAAATACAATTATACATGTTTCGAAATTCTACCGACAATGCGATGGGTCGAATAACAAAGTCATAAATGCGATACCTGGCTCGAAAACCACGCCGAAGAGGAGAATATTGCCTAACATAGTAGATTTTTAACGTATAAGACGGGCAACAAGAGCCAAATCGCGGATGACAATGCGTTATCCTAACGAAACTAAATAATTTTCCGTTAGAATTAAATACCGGTGCACAAGGCACCAAATTTTACTTGGACACGGCCAAGATTTTAAATATGAAATAATCTCATATTTGAGATTTAATTTCAATACCCCCTTTAACCCCCCTACGGAAAATAAATAAATGAATGCAAGAGAAAAATATAGATCCGAAAATCGCTGAATCGGGAATCGAACCCGAGACCTTTCGCTTGCCGGGCGACTGCTCTTCCAGCTGAGCTATTCAGATCCTTTCGATTCTATACTTTTCTCTGTTATATATATTAATGTTGGTAAACAAACGCATTTTTTAAGCCAGCGTGTATCAAATATAAGAGTTTTAACAAGGCTCTGTAATATAAATATAAATTTAACGTATAAGACGGGCAACAAGAGCCAAATCGCGGATGACAATGCGTTATCCTAACGAAACTAAATAATTTTCCGTTAGAATTAAATACCGGTGCACAAGGCACCACATTTTACTTGGACACGGCCAAGATTTTAAATATGAAATAATCTCATATTTGAGATTTAATTTCAATACCCCCTTTAACCCCCCTACGGAAAATAAATAAATGAATGCAAGAGAAAAATATAGATCCGAAAATCGCTGAATCGGGAATCGAACCCGAGACCTTTCGCTTGCCGGGCGACTGCTCTTCCAGCTGAGCTATTCAGATCCTTTCGATTCTATACTTTTCTCTGTTATATATATTAATGTTGGTAAACAAACGCATTTTTTAAGCCAGTTATTTTCCGTAGGGGGTTAAAGGGGGTATTGAAATTAAATCTCAAATATGAGATTATTTTATATTTTAAAATCTTGGCCGTGTCCAAGTAAAATTTGGTGCCTTGTGCACCGGTATTTAATTCTAACGGAAAATTATTTAGTTTCGTTAGGATAACGCATTGTCATCCGCGATTTGGCTCTTGTTGCCCGTCTTATACGTTAAATTTATATTTATATTACAGAGCCTTGTTAAAACTCTTATAAATTAGTTTATTCACTTTCTACAAGTTCGTCGCGTACCGAGACTTATGTTTCTCGGCGCTCGCTCTCTCGAGGACTGACTCGAGGGCTGCGCGAATTTCGGAGCTCGCGTAGGGCGGCAGCCGATCGGGGTCCTCGATTGGACCATCAGAAAATCAGGCGATGTACACACGCCAATTAGCGGCGAGTGTACACGTTGGTTTCACGTGTTTCCTTGGCGTAAACACTAAGGAATTTAACAAAAAAACATTCTAGAAAATTCGATCGTCCTCGAGGATTCGATCCGAAGAACGAATCTTCAACAATGTGGAAAGAATTTTATTAGAATTTCTCTACTATTTATTATATTAAAAATATAATATGTATCACAAGAAAATATAAAATATGTTTGATTAATTTTACTATACAGTTTAGTAAAATTAATCACACATATTTCATATTTTATTGTGATAGATATTATTTTTAATGTGATAAATATTAATCAGAGAAATTTTAATAAAATTCTTTTCATACCGTATTGTCTCACAATTACCATAACTTTTAGGGTAAATTTTAAGAGAAAATTCTCTCAGTGTACCGATTAATTATTAAAAATTACTTGTAAAAAGGCACACGTTACTCGATGCGGACGACAATTGTTTACACGGCAAGGACACGACAACAGACTGCGGCGACGGATGACGCAACGCGTCGCGACGCTTCGCGACACGTCTAGACGATAACAATCACGCGGCGTTGCCGAACATGTGATTGACGCGAGACATGTATTAAAACGTATAATAATTATGTTATTAAAAAAGGCATATTATAACGTATTATAATTTTTTACGTTATAATACATTTTTTTAATGACTTAACATTATCCGCCCGTTTTGCCCTTTCTTTTTAAGCGAGACGTGAGAAAATGATTATGTTTTGCGAACAAGATGTTCCATGTATAAATGTATTGGTCGCTCTTTTCAGAGCGGATTGACTTTGGTCGCTCTGAAAAGAGCGGATTGACTTTGGTCGCTCTGAAAAGAGCGGATTAATTTATAATAGGTGCTCAAAATGACCACCATCCATCCTTATGCAAGCTCGCATGCGTTTAAATAAATTTAATTGGACGTTCTCCATTACTTCCTCTTCGATATTCCAAATTACATATCGCAATCTGGTTTCTAAGTCGTCGACGTTCTCGGGAAGCGTTTTGTATATTGATTCCTTACAGTATCCCCATAAAAAGAAATCAAGAGAATTAAGGTCCGGGGATCTTGCGGGCCAACGTATCGGGCCATACCGACCCATCCAACGTCCAGGAAACTGCTTGTGCGCGACGGAAGATGGATAGGACGTGGTCGGAAGCGAGACCGAGAAATAGACACAACACTCGACACACGCGTAACGTTCACAAAAAAATATATTTATATAAACTATTAACAAAAATTACAATTAATATACCGCACCGAATTTACCGAGAGAATTAGCCGAGTCTTAAATTACTAAGTGTCCGCAAGCAACGGTAATGAATTAGACAAAGACAAGCAATCTTTATCGTATGAACACACTTTATTCGCGATGAGCAATCGGTAAAAAGCGCCGCGGTCGCGAGAGAGGAGGCTTATATACGCCTTGTAATTCTAGAATATTCGAGTACATTTGCTGTCGTTCTATTGTGATATTAAGGGCGAAGGAACGTTTACTGTAATTATTTACTTGTTTTTCTCTCCTCTCGCGCGACAGCGGTGTTTACAATTTAGACTGTTTTAAGCGCTTATTTTCAAAGGCGCGGAGTATCCGTATACTCTCGCGGCCGAGCGCTAATTTAAATATAATTTAAAATACGCATGTTAGACCACGATATTAATTAATAAATTATATGCATGCTGCATGAGGCATGATCGAGATGCATGAATATTTTAACGCTTTTTGTCCGCGGGTTATTACCGTTCGAATCTCGAACATTTCGCCCGCCTTGCAGTAATATACCTGCAATCGTGTTCTCAGCGCGAGAGTGGGGCACGAGCCTATTCACGCGCTCGTGCGTGACGGACACGTGGAGCGCACGTGCTCCGATTGATTTAGAGAACGGAATGCTGAATCGATCAGCTGTTTATACTGGGAGTCAGTATAGACGCGTATAGGTTAAGCTTTGCGTAGACCGTATGCTGGCGATGTGCAAGTGACTGTGAGTGTGAAGTACAATTGTGAGGAGAATAATGAAAATTTAGTGAAAAAAATAAATGAATGTGAATATGGAATAGAGAAAAGTGTAAATTTTTTAAACGCGGACGACGCGTGATTGCGATTCGAGTGAGTCTTCGGAGCCGTCGGTCAGAAAGACTAACTTGTTCACGGGACGCGTCAATTTTGTGGTCGAGGTGCGGACGTCGACTACGCGAACGTTACCGTCGGAACCTGGATGCAGTCGTGTAATGCGCGCAAGCGGCCACCGTGTTGGTGGTTATTTCGTTTCGCACGAGGCAGATTCGACCGACGCGAGCCTCCTGATTAATTCGGGACCATTTCGGCCGATGGGCCAGCGTGTGTAAGTATTCGCTGACCCACCGAACCAGAAATGATCCTTCATGTTTTGCGGAGCTGCCACCGTGAGAGACGTGCCGACGGCTCTCGTTCGAGCGACGGTTCGGGGATCGCCGAGAGAGCGGAGCCGACCAGGAAGTGACCAGGTGTGAGTGCGGCTACATCCTCCGGATCGTCAGACAACGGCTGCAGCGGTCTGGAATTGAGGCAGGCCTCAATTTGGGCTAGGAGAGTAGTCATCTCCTCGTAGGTGAGGGTGACGTCACCGATGACTCGCCGAAGGTGGTGCTTCATCGCTTTCACGGCAGCTTCCCATAAACCGCCGAAGTTAGGTGCAGCTGGCGGGTTGAACCGCCACCGGATTCTTTCCTGGGCGGCGAAGGTTGCGATGCGATGTCCGTCGGCACTGGCGGCGGAAAATAGTTGCCTAAGCTGCTTATCGGCACCCACGAAGTTGGTGCCGCAGTCGCTATATAGCGAGTGGCAGACTCCTCGCCTGGCGACGAACCGACGCAAGGCGGCAAGGAAGGCGTCAGCGGTGTAGTCCGAGGCCGCGTCGAGGTGGACTGCTCGGGAAGCTAAACAAATAAAGACAACAATAAAACCTTTTGTCGCCTTGAGTTCGCCCCCCTGCTGTTCGCATCCAAATCGGTCCGGCGTAGTCTACGCCGGTATGCAGAAACGGCCGGCCTGGAGTAACTCGTGGTGCCGGGAGGTCCCCCATCAGTGGGCTGAGGGATGGCAGCCCGCCATCTGGTGCACCTTAGACACCGGCTGATGCGGCTCTTCACTAAGCGCGACCTCGAGGGACCCAATACTCCTGGCGAAGAGAGCACAAGGTCAACAGGGTGCCGCCGTGCAGCGTCCGCTTGTGGTAGTCGTCGATGATGAGGCAAGTAAAATTAGATCTGCTTGGTAGTATGGTTGGATGCGTGGCATCATACTGCAGTGCAGCGTGTTTAAGGCGCCCGCCGACGCGTAGGTCCCCCCACTGTCCAGAAAAGGACTTAGCTTCAGTAGGGAGCTTCGAGTCGGCAGAGGCTTTCCATTCTTCAGGTGTCTCAGTTTCTTCTTTGTATGTTTCAGCCTGGATGATTTTAACCAGGAGATCCGGGAGTCCTCGATCTCGTCGGCGCTGTTCAAGCCGGGCTGGCCATGCGCGAGGTGGTCCTGACGTGGATCCGCAGCCAGCGACGGCACCACGCAGTGATCCGGAGCAGGCGTTGTAGCGACGAGTATCGAAGAAGCATCTCCGGCTCAGTCCTTTGTTCGGCGATGGCGGCGACGTGGGCGCGGACGCGCCTCTCTGGGAGGTCATCCTCTGGTGGCTCCTCGCAGTTGATCGTCCACGGTTGGCTCTCGGAAGACAGCCACGACGGACCTTGCCACCATAGTGAATGGTCCACAAGCTCGCTGGGGTAGAGTCCTCGTGACGCGCAGTCCGCGGGATTCTCTCGGCCGGGGACGTGGTTGCCAGTGGGCGTCCGGAGTCAGCGTCTGGATCTCACTCACCCGATTAGCGACGTAAGTGACCCAGGACGAAGGGTGGCCCCGGATCCAGCCGAGAGTCACGGTGGAATCCGACCACAGATGGAGAGGCGCCTTTTCTGCGCCAATAAGAGGCACGACGTGGGCGACCAATCGAGCTTGGTCTTCGCAGCTAATAAAGTCACTCTCCTAACTCCGTTTGTGTTTGTTCGCAGGTAGATGACTGCGGCGTAGGCACGTTTCGGAGGCATCGGCAAATCCGTGAACCTCTTGATGGGAGTCAGCTAGGGCTCCTACAAACAAGGCACGACTAGTTTCTCCAATGCCGCTAGCTCATCCTGGAATCGCAGCCATTTTCGGGCTTCCTCGCTTGGCAGAGACGCGTCCCCAGTCGAGACCTAGTAAGCCGGGTAGCCTGTGTGATTTTGGCCAGCACATTCCGTTGGAGACAGCCAGCCGAGGGATCGAATATA